GACACACACACACACACACACACACACACACACACACACACACACACACATACACGAACGCCTATGAAAACATAACCGTCTTGGCGAAGGTAAAAATCGAAAAACTAAAACAGCCATGCCAGTTTACTAAATCAATAAGGGTCGGTCTACTCTCGCGTGAGATTCAACTAAAATACCTCTGAGTCATGCTTTATACACCGATTTGATGATTGGCCCAAAGTCACGCGGCTGCATATCTTATCAAACTGACCAACTAGAGCAGAGTTTGATGTAGCTGAAAAACACAAATTCCGTCGACCTCGACACAAACAAGTTGCCAAGCCTTGCAGGCGCTGATACTCACACAATCGGCCGATACAGACAGTACAGCTTCAGGATGGCAGTTGGCAACGCAGTAGAAAACCTTCGCCAAAAAGTTAAAGATAGAGTCAGCAACGCCACTGCCGAAATGTCTAACGTCCTCGTTATTGGCCTGACTGGCAGTGGAAAATCGTCCCTGATCAACTCAATAGAACAGGCTGTTGTGGGCAAGCCGGCAAACCTAGCCAGGGTCGGCAGGGGTGTGGGAGGAAATGTCACCCTGTGTATTGAAGGCTGTGGTATGTTCTCAACGCTTCAGGACAACCTGAGAGACAAGGTGAAGTTCTGGGACTTTGTCGGCCTTCCTAACCGGAACGACGTGGCCATCAGGACCCTTATTTCATTAGCTCTTGATGGCCGTAATTCCTAAAAACCGGCCTCTGATAAACCCCCAATACTACGACATGCGCAAGGGGGAGTTAGAGGACGAGTTTCCGGCAATCCCAGATCGACCAAAGATCCAGCGTGTTGTTGTCGTGTGCGCGGCTGATGAGGAGATACCCACAAATCTCCTGCAGGCGACGAAGAAGGCGGCTCAACCGGCGACGACGGCGGCAGATCGCAGTGAGTCTACTGGGGTTTTTAGTGACTTTTTGTGATGCTGGTTCATTCTTGATAACTGGGTGTTATTTGCTCAAATAGCAATGAAATACTGTAATACATGTAGCTTTGTTTTGCATTATAGGATACTATATACCATTAGACTATCATTTGAATACTAGTAATTAATCAGAACTGTCTGTGTTGTCATCGGTAAGTTAAGTCCCCTCTAGTATCAATAATGTTCTGTCGTTCTTGGGTGGTTTCATTAGGTTAGTAAGTGACTGTGTAACAAAGTTGTTGCGTTCACAATTAATCATGAATATTCCCCAGGGCAATACTGACTGGATATACTTCACAAAGCAGCCTGGTGTCGTTCTAACATTGCAGAAGCGACAGTACAGTGCCCAGTAGTTCAGCCGCATTGCCCTGTGGAATGTGACTCAAGGTCACCGAAACGTTGGTGTGTGAATATTCTTGGTTGTGAATAAAGAACTCTGTTACACAACGTTCTATCCTATTTGCAGACATCCCATTGTTCCTGCTCATCTCCAAAGTGGACAAGATGGTCGGAGATGCGAACGCCGAGGGCCTCAGTCGAAGGATACACAACGCCAGGGACACCCTTAAGCTTGACGCAACAAACTACTTCTTCGAGGAAGCTACCCTGTACCATGAACAAACTAATGCGGTAAACGACCCAGGTATGGCTTCAAATGATTCAACTGATGAGCCTCTCTTACGACTTTTGTTCAACATCCTGGATCCCCAGCTCCGGGTGGTTTACACCGAACCACGACCTGAGCCAACACTGGCTGGTGAGCTCAAGAAATCAGGAAAAAGAAGGTACATTCGTATAAAGGAAAGGGTGACAGAGCTTTGTCCACTTTGGATAGTGGAAGCCATATTGCTGGGTTTGGTAGCAATTGTGATAGGAATTGTTTTGCTAAATATAAAGTAGACCATGATGTGACTACGTGATAGCCGATGTTACATGATAAACAATATTATCATATAACCAGATAGCGTTAAGCAATCAGAGGTCCCCATTTGCCATTGGTTATGACACCATAACACACCCAGAGGTCATTAAATTCCATAAACACCGGCACCAATCAGCGTCGACCGATATGGCCGACGATGACGTCATAGGGAACACGTTTTGTTCGAATTTCATCAGATCGAACATGGTGGAACATGATTCGGGTTACAGAACAAACTTAGTATAAGGACATTTTTAACTTTGCCTGAATGTCATCTAGCGGAGAGAGCACATCATGTACGGGGTAAGTAGGGCATACTAGTAAACAAAGTATCGCACCGGCAGGTAGACTTCAAAATGTTTCATCAAAGTTCGTAAGACTCGCTTGTGTTGCGCTCAGAATTTAGCAGATGGATGCCGCTTTCTCGTACTTTGTAACTCGTTTGTAAAATTGTAATTATTGGTGGTGTGACGCCATCTTGCTTGATATTTTTTGTGTGTAAATTTACGGAGAAACTCCTAAACCGTAATGTAATCTAGTATGTATACATTTGTAAATAGTATCACCCTTGTGCAAATAAGCTGAGAAATTTCAAAGCGTAATGACGCCACTGTTTCAATATAACAGTGGTGTGATATATTTACACATTACATTTTGTAAATGGCGACACACACTTTCTGTATGATAAATGTTTTATTTCCGGAAGAATAGTTACTGTAATGTTTTGTATGTTCCTGATTGAATCACTAGTACATTATATGCTATATGCGTGTCCTAACTCTTCCGACGTGCCATCAGCACTACGGCATATATACGGATATTCTTCGTGTAAATTAGATTTTGCAGAATTGTCAATCTAATATGTATTGTATTATTTTACACCCGCAATCTTGGATTTTCTTTGATAACGCGTATATTAAAGGCCAGCCTTATTACAAAGCAGTTATTTTCATTCGTGAAGGAGTACCAAACCTTCAAAAGCACAAATTCACACTGTAGGGATTTTTTGTAGGGTTAAGATACAAATACAATGTTCTTCATGTATGAAGCTATAAATCTATACAAATACATGTATAATGTTAAATTGAGCCGAAAGCTACCATGGATATGTAAACAGAGAAAAAATAACAGACATTATTTGGTGAAACTTGTTGTATGGCAACATTTCTTGCAAAGACAAAATGTGCGTCAGATTTCTTTCCTTTGTGTCTGTTTTGTGTGTGTCTGTCTGTATGTATGTATGTATGTATGTATGTATGTATGTATGTGTGTGTGTGTGCGTATGTGCGTGTCTCATGTATGTATGTGTGTGTGTGTGTGCCAGCCTGTGCGCGTGTGTCTGTGTGCGTGTGTCGTATGTGTGTGTCAGTGTGTGCGTGTCTCATATATGTGTGTGTGTGTGCCAGTGTGTGCGCGTGTGTCAGTGTGTGCGTGTCTCATGTATGTATGTGTGTGTGTGTCAGTGTGTGCGTGTGTGTGTGTGTGTGTGTGTGTGTGTGTGTGTGTGTGTGTGTGTGTGTGTGTGTATGTATGTCTGTGTGTGTGTAGTATGGATAGATATTTACGTGCCATACAAGTTACAAAAGGTACTGAAAGGTCAGGATTTAACACAATCTTGTCCGTAGCATAGTGTGGTTCAGTTTTACTAAAATTGTTTTGGGCGAAAATGGTGACTTCTATGTTTTTAAACAAGAGGCGACATGACAGCCTTTTATCTCAGCCTATTTGTTCTTTAAGGTACTGGAAAGGATTTCTTCACCGATTCTGGAAATTTGGAAACATGTAAGGCCACACCGACTTAATTTCATGGATGACATCCGCGCGCGCATTGATTTTTGACTGTCGTCAAAAAAAAAGATCACGTCCTCGGAGGCTCTGGCCTGGCTCTAGTAGTCTGTGCTAGGCGGAGGCCGGCGGTAACTCTGGAGGATAGCACCCAGGCTACCGAAGCTCCACGACTCAAGATCTCAGATTTGCTGTTAAACCGCACAGCTGCATTTATAAGCCGTTCGTACACTTTTAGAAGGCAGAAGTGCTGCCAACCAGAAGGTTGACGTATAATTATTGAGAGGACGTGGAATTGCTACGATATATCAAGTACAGTAAAGGTAACGGCAAGAAGAATTTAAAAAAAAGTAAAGGTTTCCACTTATATACCGCTGAAGTAGTGTCCAGACACGGCGTCAGCTTAAACACTGCTGGTTTCCAAAATGCCATACCCCCGTGGGACATGTGAATATATGGTTTACACCTAAATTAAGGACCTGTAAGCACCTTAACATGTTGTCAATGAGAAAAATTCCCCCAGATTTCTATAACACAATTACTCTCAGACTGGTAAAAGAGCCAGTAAAGTAGAAAACCTGTCGTTAAAAGAAATCTTTAAAATGTTTTACACAACAGGTGCACCAAAGCATGTCTACATAAGAAGCACTACATTAATCCTATAACCTTTTCTAAGGCAACTCTTTAGTCACCTTTCAAAATCATTTATAGCCTCCAACAGGAGGCAAATTGAAGTTGCTAAAGCGTCACTTTTCCAGCTTCCAAAACAAATAAATGAGGACTGGACTCTATTGAAATGCATGTTGCTGAGAATCCCATTAGTGCAGTAACCTGGCAATGGCACTAAACTTAATAAGGCTAGTTTACACTTGTTCTTCGGCCGTGTGGGAACTTTATTATCTCGCTAGAGCTGCGTCTGAAATGGAACGGAGAACTCGTGACTCCGCGGGGGAGAATACTGAGAGTGTACAGAAATACGATACTGCAAGTAAACGGTATTTTGTTGTAGTAGTAGTTAGGCCACACCGTCTTAATTTTATGGATGACATCCACGTACGCATTGATTTTCGCCTGTTCTCAAAAAAGGTTCTGGCCTGGCTCTAGGCCTGGGTAGTCCATGGTAGTTGGCGACAATACGGAGCCGGACACTCAGGCTACCGAAGCTCCACGACTCAAGAACTCAGTACATACGTACAGTGCCGATTGATAAATGCCGCAAAAAGCCAGCACGTGCCGGCTTGTCGTATACGTCGCTACGTACTGTCACAAATTCACAATACCAGCTAAATTGTATACAGTGTCAGTGGTTTTTAGTAGGATTTTTATTTTTGGCCGGAATTTTTTTTTATTCGCCCGCGCGCACTAGTTTGGGGGTCTTCAGAGGATGTCATCCATAGAATTACGTCGGTATGGCCTTAAGGTGCTTACAGGTCCTTAATTTAGGTGTAAACCATTTATTCACATGTCCCACGGGGGTATGGCATTTTGGAAACCAGCAGTGTTTAAGCTGACGCCGTGTCTGGACACTACTTCAGCGGTATATAAGTGGAAACCTTTACTTTTTTTTAAATTCTTCTTGCCGTTACCTTTACTGTACTTGATATATCGTAGCAATTCCACGTCCTCTCAATAATTATACGTCAACCTTCTGGTTGGCAGCACTTCTGCCTTCTAAAAGTGTACGAACGGCTTATAAATGCAGCTGTGCGGTTTAACAGCAAATCTGAGATCTTGAGTCGTGGAGCTTCGGTAGCCTGGGTGCTATCCTCCAGAGTTACCGCCGGCCTCCGCCTAGCACAGACTACTAGAGCCAGGCCAGAGCCTCCGAGGACGTGATCTTTTTTTTTTTTGACGACAGGCAAAAATCAATGCGCGCGCGGATGTCATCCATACGATTAAGTCGGTGTGGCCTTAGGTACAATGAATGTTTAGCTTCCGTGGGAAGAACAAACAGTTACTGTGTTACCTGCACAGCTTCAGTTATGAGCATTGACAGGTCTCTGGAGACCAAGTCCGGTTACCCTATCTGCATTTTATGCCTCCTGTCCGTTGCGAACTTCGATCTGACGACAGTAGCTGCATTGAATATTAGATTTATTTCAAGTGTCGAATTGTCACAATAGTAGCCATACGACTCGTTCACAGACTTGATAGCAATTGCTTGTTCTGAACTAAAGCGTTTACTTTATTTAATTGCGTCAGATATCATTATCTCCGTTTTTAGTGTTAGTTCCATGAAGACTCCATGTATTTCTCTTCAAATGGAAGTATGGTTTGAAGTACCTTTTGTACATGTACGTATACTAAAGGTCCGTAAAGTGACGATACCATCTCAGCAATGGGGATGTTTTAGAAAGGGTGATACTTAAGTGCAACCGTTAACTTGCTGTGTTTGCCGCTAAACTAATGGTATGTTGTTGTTTTAATATGCTGTTGCCATGGTAAATAAAACGTGGCATTATGTCTCTAAATGCGATCTTGCACTTTTGAGTTTTGAAAATGTACCAATTCAACGTTTGAATAAGTTACGGGTTGTATCAGTATTGAAGTATAATTCCCATTTTCCTAAAATTGTAGGATAAAAAGACGAAACTGGCAATATAGAGCTTGCTGCTTAAGCTTTATGGCATAGCCACAGATAACCATAACCCGTGACAAAGTTTCACCGGTTGCCATGTTGTTTACTTAGGCCCTTCAGGGTGACGCACGGAACGCTAGTCTCCGACCCGCACGAAACACGGCTCTGATTTTCCGGTCTACAACAGAGAGACGTGCCCGTCGTTAAAAATGTCTGATGTACAGACGGCTGTGAGGAAGAGGATTGAGGGGTTGAGTGAGACAGACAAGTGTAACATTCTTGTCGTAGGGACGGAGCCAGCCACGTTCGTAAACTCGATGGAAATGTCGGTGACCGGCGTGTGGCCAAACCTAGGCGGTTCTGGGGGCGGTGTTCAGGACAAGTCGCGCTGTCTCAACAGATTTGACATGTTTCCTCATATAGAGGGTCTATCCGGCAAAGTAGCATGTTTAGGTTTGAGTCTCGACGAAAAAGAGGACATGTCAGCCACAGAGTTAGAGCACACGCTTCGTGGCGTCCACACTGATGTGAAAATCGACATGGTGGTTTTCATATGCCCGAGTAGCGATCCTGTGCCCGTTGATGTGTTGGAAAGGTGTCAAACGAGGCGTGGGACAAAGACAAAGTTCGCAGTAAAGTAAAAAGTAAAAATGATTCATTATGAGTTCTATCCTGGAATCATACTGAGTTCTGTGTGTAGTACGTCTGTTTGTGACATATTCTTGCAAAAATATATTAATGCCTTATGACTGTATATGAAGTTTTAGAGATATTGATTATAATAATGTGAACTTATGTAAAAGAAAATCAACTATATTTCATGGTGGAAACCTCGTCTGTTTACTGGACGCCCAAGTGTTTTTGCATACCAATGGTACATCACACAAGTATATGACATTTGTACGAAGGACCAAAACTA